ACTTGTGGGATGAGGACATGAAAAACTTGATCATACATAATAATGGGTCTATTCAAAACATTGAATCTATTCCTAAAGAAATTAGAGATTTGTATAAAACTGTTTGGGAGATATCTGTAAAAACAACGATACAAATGGCTGCTGACAGAGGTGCATTTATTGACCAAAGTCAATCTTTTAATATTCATGTTGCTGAACCAAATTACGGTAAATTAACATCTATTCATTTTTATGCTTGGAAAATGGGATTGAAAACTGGAATGTACTATTTGAGAACAAAACCTGCAGCCAATGCAATTCAGTTTACGGTTGACAAAACTAAAGTAAAAGGTAAGGTCACAAATGGTAAAGTGGAAATGAATGGCAAATCAGATGTAGATGATGCAAATATGGCTGCCATCACCTGTTCTTTACAAAACAGAGATGAATGTATGAGCTGTGGTTCTTAATTTTTATTGTAAGTTTCCGAAAGTTTGGCCTGGTGTTGCCGAATTAATCATTATAATTATTAGAATTAATTTTGTACTTTTTAAAAAATGTGTCCGTTTTATTAATATTTTCGAATAATTTTGTAGATATAATCTTGAAATAAATAAAATAAATTTTAAATAATTAATTAATTATTACATGGTATTTCTGTTTTGATATAAATATTTCTATCCACAAACTAGGTGATATTATTGGATCTCCAGAATAATATGAATACAATGAACAATTGGGAAATATAATGTCTGTTTTTAGAGACCAAAATTAAATTGTGTACCTACGTCTGCAGTTTAAGTAAAATATGTTCACTAGATAAGTAATTTAGCAATAAAAGTATCACATATAATGTGTTGCGTTATTTTTCATTAGATTATGGTCATTTGAATCTTATATATCATAAAAATCTACGCAACAATTACAGAAGCCGCACAACTAATTATAAGATTCAAAAGACCATTTTCGACAACAATTGGCCTGGGTAACGTATACAGCATCAACACATGTTTGAAAACTGTTGTAAACGCACCCACGACACAGAAAAAATCCTAGTGTGGGGCAACGTTAAAAAAAATAGTACGGTAAAATGGGGTGAATAGGGTTTGAGCGGCGACAAGGGGCAGAAGAGGGGTGAATCGATACTGTGAAGGATTTCCTTATATCTATTTACTCCTCTTTTGCCCTATTCACTCCTCTCGATCCCTATTCACCCCATTTAACGGTAGGTAATATGTATGCAAATATTATCGTCGATCGTTTTGATCGTTTCATTGCAAACTTGGATTTTTTATCTACGTGGTAGTTACAAAAGCTGCGATAATTTATCATCAGATTAAATGCGCCTTTCAACTGCAAAATGTAGACACTAACTACAATTGAGAATCCGTAGATCTATGTCTGTGGTGTGCACCACAATGTTATCAATTTGAGGAGTTTTGATGCATGTGACGTAAAAATTGTGTACCTATATGTAGTAAGAATTTTCAATAACACTACATCTTTATAACTTCATAGAATATTTATTTAGGTAGGTATATGTATATATATCTGATTTACCATTTACATGGCTTTAGATAACTCTAGTGCAAGATCGTCAACCTAAAAATACAGGATATAAACATAATTATAGCTTACACATTTCCCAACCTTGTCATATTGCATATGAATAAAACTATTTTATACTCTTGGAATAACAACATGTAACATAAAAATACAACACCTGAAATGATGCCCCATCCCATGAAACAAAATTAAAGACTCATAAAACTATTTTATTAAGAAAATAGGTATCTATTGTTTTACAATATTTGTTTATTATTATATAACAAGTCAATATCAGTTTATTAATGTCAATTAATATTTATCTACTTACTTTTTCATGGGCACCACCAATAAAATTATGTATTTTTTATATTTCACATCACATAATTTACATTTCAAGCCATTACAACTACAAAGAATATAAAGAAAAATATTAGAACACCAAAAACTTTGAACATTAAAGCTCTATTGCCAGTAACACTTTGAAAATACTTCATGATTTCTCTGTGACCGGCTTCAACATTCATTTCTGCTTCTTGGATATTTGCATCAATTCTGCCAATGGCTTCATCCTGTTCTTTCACCATGTGAGCTAGCTGCTGAAATATGCCTCCTAGTTCAACAATAGTACTCTCAATATTATGCATAGTTTCAGCTCTTTGCTGAACATATGTATCAGTATCATCTCTCAATGCTAACTGTTGTTGTTGTGTTTGAATGTTAGGTGCATCTCCTAAGTCTATACTGATGTCATCTTGTTGCAACAGAGATGGCACTTCTTTAACCAATGGAGCTACTCTCGAAAATTGTTCCCTTCTGTTATTTTGATGTTTCAAATTTTCAGATCTAACTTCAAGGACCTAAAATCGAAAAGAATACAATGCAGTTATTTATTTAAATCATAATAACATCATATTATTGAGAACTTTTTATAAGTTTTAATTAATAGTATTTATTACCTGTTTGAATTGATTGCTCATTGAAGCTAAACGTGACTGCAAAGCAAGCACTACACTTGATGAGTGGCTATGCATACTTCGCCGTCCCCGTGGCATTTCACCCAGTCTGGCTATTTGCTGATTCAAGGAACTTAAATCTCCTTTAATTATGTATGTCAATTCTTGGATTTCTGTTGGTCGATCATCAAATAGAGACTTCTTTTTGGCCACTAAAAATGTTTAGGATATTAATATCAAGAGAGTTAGAAAATATATTCAAAAGTGTCATGCATTATAACTTTTATAAATCTTTCATTATAACTTTTTAATTTCCATAATAATAGTTGTGCCACAGTGTAATAGGCAGAAATGAATACTTACACAAGGCTAACTTTTCAAGTTTAGCATAAGTACTTGTTATGTTTTTACTAATAACTTTTGCCATGCCCATAAATTGTGAATATGTCTCTAATATCTGAGCTTTTCTTTCATCTCTTACGATCGGTCTGGCCAAAGTTCTACCTTGCAGACTGCGTACAGCTGAGACAAATTCATTAGTTCTGTCTCTAGACGCCATCACTGGTTCAAACACAAATTCTTCGAGGATGTCGAATGTTATATCAGGTTCTACAATATTACTAGGGGGCGCTAATTTGACTTGTGTCTTTGGGAACGGATTAAATATACTAGAACTATTATTCGGTTGACTCCCTTTTTTGTCTAATTTATTGTAGGTATCAAAATCGTTCTCCAAAGGTGATCGCTCTGTCACACCTCCGATATTTCGCCGACGAGGGAGCATCGCATTCTATACTATATTCAATAAAATAGACTAATTTATTTGCACTATTATACACTGAATTAAACTTTAATAATTATCATAAATAAATGACTAATTAATAAAAATATAATTATTTTCGAGTGACAACCAGCTGTTCTCAAAGTTTGATTTAATTTCATGAAGAAAATGAAATTGAATGAGTAATAGTGACGTTGGTGATGTGTCTGGCAAGTGTCAAGTCAAGTTGCACAGGTAATATAAATGAACTGCTTTTTGGTGTACACAGGGAAAATTAAAAAAATACAAATCATAGGCTGGTTGGTGGACATACGGTTTTTTGGATTATACTTATTTAAAATGCATAGTTTTTTATGAAACCAATTTTAACGTCCTTGTAAAAAACTGATATTGTTTGTGTCTCTGGATGACCATCAATGATAATTGACCATAGATATAGATATCAGTGTGATTTTTCACATTGTAAACTTTATTGAATTTCCAATAAAAACTTAAATAATATTAAAATTAACTATTACTAAATTAATAATAAAATATATACAAAATAAAAATAAAATATATATAAGAAAAACCAAAACAACTATTTACATAAAGCATCGAAAAATTCGTCCGCATCGACGTCAGTGGGGAAAGTACCCATTTCACGAAAGAAGTCCCGCAGACGCAGCGCTGTATTTGTGCGACATAATGTTGCCACGGTTAAATTTATATAGTATGGGGAAATCAGGAGAAATTGACATTAGTTTGATTAACTACGTACTCGAACAGTTCGAGGAATATTTTAAAAATAATATCTTTTTATATAGGTATTTATGTTTATACTGCTAAGGTCAGATTAGTGAAAAATTAATCTTCCTGTAATTTCTAAAATATAAAATGGAAATAAAGATGTTCAACCAACATCAAATTAGAAACATAAAATAACATTTAAAAAGTTTTATTAAAGTTTTATTGAATAATTATGATCGGTCATACTATGATCACTGTCAGAAGAGTGAATAGAAACAGAATTAGATTCTGTTTCATTATCACTAGCCGTAGATATAATAAATCGATGCATTTCTTCATCCATAAGACCATCATTTTTTTAAAATATTCTTCCTCCAAATGCTGTACATGTTTGCATTGAACTGTTCAATCTTCCGCTGTAACAGTCTCGAACGCCTCTTCTGTTAGGCGTACAATTTCTTTTGGATCTTGGCCCACGTTTTTAACCGCTACCCGTCTGTTTATAACACACGACTCTCCGACACACCTGCAATAAAATGAACAATTAAAAAAAATCTAACAGTGACTTTTTCCGCATTTAATTATATTATTGTTGAATACAATTTTACAAATTTTTGTTGTGTTATGTTAATTCCTCATTAAAAAAACTTAAGTCTAATTGGTAAAAAATATGTTTAATATGGCAGCCCCAAAATTTACCTGTTATGGCGGCAACTCTTTTGCGAACATTGTCTAATGGTATTAAAACGCCGCGATTCTTCTGTTCCGCTTCACAGAACTCTTTCAATTTTAATATCATTTCTCGACCTGCACTTTTTACAACTTTTGGCATCGTAAATAAACCTTATAATGCACTAATTTAATAATAAACTCACAAAATATCTACCACAACAAACCCACCTTGACAACATCGACAAACGACAACATGGCCGAACTCCCCATTTGTCAAATTTAGTTCCACAATTGTCCGCGGGACTTCTTTCGTGAAATGGACTCTACAGAAGGCTGATTGCCACTTACTTCATTGCCTTGACTTTTGTTATATAGACGTTGTCATTTTGACATTTAATTGACAGGATAATATTATTTGTAAATGAGTAGAAGTCTACATGAATTAAAACAAAACTCAAAATAAACCTTATTTTATTAGAATAAGCACTAACAGAGAATTCCCCTAGACAAGTCAAGGCAGTTTAATATAAAACTTCGAGTGTCAAAATTTATTGTGGCTCTTAAATATTTATCATTAGATAAGATTCAGTTATGATTCATAATGTTATCATAATTTTGGTTTTCTAACGCCTATAAATTTCTATTAAGTGAATAATTAAGTCTCTAACAATGAAGTACTCACAGTTGACTATAAATGGCCAGCATTACAATAATACCCATTTTACAATTGGTTTAAGTCTTGCAATTTCGTCAAGTGTATTTATAGGCGCTAGTTTCATAATTAAAAAAGTTGCTTTAAGAAAACTTCAAGCTTCAGGAAACGTAAGAGCATCGGCAGGCGGATTCGCCTATTTGAAGCAATGGCTGTGGTGGCTTGGCTTTATAACAAGTATGTACCAATTTGCGGTTTAAATCTTGCAATGGTGTTGTGACACCTGTTTTTAATGATTAACAATTATTGTTTCAGTGGGTATTGGAGAAGCTGCCAATCTTCTGGCATATGCATTTGCTCCTGCTGCTCTGGTAACACCTCTAGGTGCACTCAGTGTTCTTGTTGCAGCAGTGTTGTCTTCACGATTTCTGAAAGAAAAACTTAATTTTATAGGAAAAGTATGTTGTTTCAATTTGTCATCAACCAAATTCTTATAATTATTTTACTTAGTATATTTTAACACATTTTTTTATTCCAGATTGGATGTTTCCTATGTGTTATTGGATCAGTGATATTTGTGATACATTCACCAAAATCAGAAGAAATTACAACCTTTAGTGAGTTAGTTGAAAAACTTATTGATTATTTATTTTTATCTTATGTGGGGACAATTTTGTTAATGGGTTTAATAATTAAACTAGTCTTCATACCAAGGTTTGGAAATACTAATGTGATGGTATATTTATTACTTTGTTCTTCAACTGGTAGTCTCACTGTAGTATTTTGCAAAGGTGTAGCTTTAGGTGTAAGAGAAAGTTTTTCAGGAAATGTTAACAATTTTACTAACTATATTTTCTGGTTACTGTTTATAACTGCTGTTTTTTGTATAATGATTCAGATGAATTATTTGAATAAGTCCCTTGACATTTTCAATACCAGTGTTGTTACTCCTGTCTACTATGTCATGTTTACTCTTCTAGTTATTATTGCATCTGGAATACTTTTTAAAGAATGGGACCATATGAACATTCCTGACATTGTAGGATGTGTATGTGGCTTTTTGATTGTGATCACAGCAGTATTTATGTTAAATGCATTTAAAGATGTGAAAATTGCATTTAAAGATTTAAACCTCAATGCACGACACAGAAGAAGTGCAATAAATTTACATGTTGAAGAGAGAGGGCCTGAGAACTATGGATTAAGCTCACGGATGAGGCATTTGTAACACAAATAACTTAATATAGAATAATCATCATAGGAGAAATGGTCTCATTCAACACCTGTGTCAAAATTGATTTATTTTGATGGAATTCTCAGTAGAAGTAGAAGTAAACCAGTGCTCTGATTTAGATATGATAGCTATTATCACATACAATATAATAGTCTTGTATTAAGAGACATTTAAAAACTCAATTATGTTAAGTAACATAATTATATAATAGGGTTTAATAACAATCCCTTTATTAAAAACAAGGTAAGGAGTGTAAGTAATTGTGTAGGAATGATGTATTGCATTGTGTATAAAAGTGACAAAGGCTCATAATTTAGACTGAGACCATGCCTAATTTATGATATATCTTAACATAGCATCAACTGCTACTTTTATCTAATCTCAACGAAAATGTAAATTTAGCAAGTTTATAATACCTACTTGTTGTTTTATTATACTTATCATGAGTGCATATTTTTAGTATTGTGCAAGTGAGAATAATAGGATACTCAATTTCATTTTTACTAAGGATTTTTTACAAGTAAAAGATTAGTTGTTTGTATTAAATGTAAATAAAACGGTACATAAAATCTTTCTAACTTTCTGATATTGTAACTATGTCTGAGTGGGTAAACTACTTATGAGTAATTTATTACCCACTTAAATTTAACAATTGGTTGTACAATTGATGATTTTGGTGATGTGATTTTATTTACTTCTTTTAACCAAAATTCTTCAGTCGAGTAGTATGTAAGGTCAATAAGATAATCAATAGGGTCAATAAGATAATTTAACCATTATAAATAAAATTATTTATTTTTCTGACTTAAAGTTTTAATTCACCCAGGATACAAAAGAACATGCTTTGTCCAATTGACAAATTAACTTTTTACAAGACTACTTATTAAAAAAAATACATTTTATTTATACAAAGTTTTGATATTATCAAGTATGCTTAGTATGGAAACACTTAAGATTCGTTATAAGGACTGATAATAATATAAATGCTTTAGATCTGAGGAATGTAGGTGATAAATAGATATTACCAAATGTCACAAGTACACAGTGACAGTGTGATAGATAAATGTCCTGCAAATAGGGCAAGTGCGTTGATATCCATATAAGCGTCTGCAACAATCAGTACACAAGCAAACATGTCGACAAGGTAGTGTTAGAACACATTTTTGCCTTTCTTGACATATAACACATAGTGAGTCTGCCCCATTAGCAGGATCATCTACATTAGAAGAATCATAATAAGTAATATCACTAGAACCTAAGTCTTGCCCACCAGCCATTTGAGCTATTAAGCCAACCTCTGAATTTGTAAAATAATTAAAAAGTAAGTAATATAAATACAAAACATTTCTTATCAAAGACCAATACAGCATGGTCATATGGCCTATTATTGGTTCTCTGAAATGAACACACAAACGTACAATTATTATAGCACTTGTGATTCCCATAAAAGATTGTAAAGGCACTTCTGTTAACCAATTAGTGAATTTCAATAATGTCATATAGGCATCTACAATAAATCTCCCTATGATAAGTCCAATATACTTGAACACTGCTCTCAACAGTTGTGGAAGGTATATAGGCACAAATGTAACAATAAGCCACACTGTGTCTCCAATAAATATCACAGAACTCTTTACTAAAATCAACACTTCACTTATCATAATAGCAACTGTTCGTGTCATCCAGTTAACAGTACTTAATAGCTCATTAAATTCTAAATATATTTCGTTCACGATATTGATAACACCATCTTGTATGCGATTTATTTGGTAGACAAACGCATCGAGTACACCATACACCGATGCCGGTATTTCTTCAGTAAATATAGCTAAATTATCTTCATAGACTATTTCAAAAAACGTGATAACGCTTCTCAGACTGTTTATTATTAATGATGAGATCCATGTTGCTGCTGAAACTATTAGTTTTCCTGTAAACGAAGCTATCAGTAGAATAGTTTGCAGGCTTGTAGCGAAAATATTTATAATTTTGGCCACAAGTGAAATCATATTTGCTTCATTATAATAAACTGGAGAATTATGCTTTGTTTTGTAGCCTTTCAATTATGTATATCTAATAAAATTATCGTAAAGTAATTTTATTCATAATACGATTACAAAATGACATTCCGAGAAATTGACAATACAAAAGAATGAAAGGATGACATTTATCAACAAACAAACAACGACAACAGCTGACTGATTAATTATTTGAAAGGTGACATTACATAGTGAGAAGACCGTCTATCAGATCAGAAAGTATATCATAATCGCGCTGCACTGATAGAATGTAGCTGAGCATTTCTCAAAAAAAATGTACTTTTTATCTAAATCACTGTCCCATGTTTTGAAATATTTTTTTCTATATATAAAATAGATCATTACCAGTTTCAATTAAATTATATACTTGCTAAGTTTAATAAACTAAGTAAAAAACACTAATAAGCCAGAAAAATATTAATAGATTATTTATTAGAAAAATACTTTAATAATCGGTCTAATTCAGTTGTATGAAAAGTGAAGTGTCTCAATTTCATACCTTCCTAAACAATCGATTGTGTTTGAGAGGACTTGTGAAAATTGTAGAAATAATTATTGTATTTATTTAGAACAAAACGGACATAATCCATTTCTTAATTAATATTGTGTCGTATTAGAACAAATTTATTTAATAAATCATTATTTTATTGTATCCTGTAAAAAGTTCCCATTTGAAATTCCTCTTTTGTTACCATATTTTTGTAGTTTAACAGAGTCAATTTGGTATAAACACGCTTTAGGACAGTAGCAACATTCGCAAGATTGCCATCCATCATAATTCCGTTTTGAAATTTCTTTTACGTCGCATGTGCGCGAACAAAATATTGTCTGTTAGCACACTGGTCCAAAAAATATCCCAACTTTGTTACCCAACAAACGCAGGTAAGCTCTAATATTTATTTTTATTTCACATGTAGAACCATTAAAGCTCTCAATCTTAATTTCGTAAGTCAAATCAAAAACGAATACCAGTGTTAGTTGTATGCGTATATAATTTTATTAATTTATTTGACTTAATTTGTTACCTCCTTTTTTGTTACTCTTGAGTGGTAACGTATACATGGAAAAGAAGGTAACAAAATAGGAAATTGTAAGGCAGAGTATTGACTATTTGACAAAGTCTTATTATAAAATATAATATTTTCTATATATGTATTGAATAAATAATAGGTATTGTGTGAAATTGATTGGGAGCTTTGTGATTTTGTTTTCAGCTGTTAATAAGAATATTTTTAGATATCTAATAAAAGAACCTCTTTCTCACATTACTTCTTCTTATTTCTTTCTTATATAATGGTGGGCTGTTTCTATGAATGCTATGAAGCTGAATATGAAATTATTTTTGCTGGTGCTTCAAATTATATTTATTTAAATAATGTTTGGCCTGTATGTTTGGCTTATTAACCATGTTTAAAAAATGCTTTTATATGTGTTTTTCATTGTGTAAGGTATGGTGATTGGTTATATTTTACAGCTCCGAATTAAATACGCCTCTACTAACCCCGGCTGAAAAAATGTGGCGGTATCGAGAAAGATTAAAAGCAACCCTGAAAAAATGGAAGAACAAGGGAAAAAGAACCCGAGAATTGTCTTATTGAAAATCAAAGTATGTTTACAAAAAAGTCAAGGACATGACTGAAGGGGAAAAGAGAAACAACGAAAAAAGTAGCGTGATCATAAAACGAAGACGAAGCAGAAGATGAAAAAATATACATTGCGTAAAATATATATATTGATACATTGCGTATGGGTATAAAGTTTAATTAAAATCGATTCATTCCTATAATTTGTTCTTAATATTCCAAATCATTAGTTTTAATAATAAGGATTATGAAAAATATCTGCTGACCGTGGCAATATAATTACGTCAAAAAAATTGTTTGCCGTACTGTGAAGTCTAGGCTTAAGAAATCCTATTTTGTTACCAGAATTATATTTTTGTTACTGTCCCATAAAAGCGGGCACATAATTCTTTTCTTTTTTTAATATTGTAAAAGGTTTTAATATGTTTTTGTTATAAAACCTAAAATATATTTCTTTTTTGCATTATTTATCTATAAAAAAATATGAAAAGAAATACAATAGACTCAATAATATAAAGATAAATCAAGAGTTGTAGCCGAATAGTAACGTAAAGGATGCATTACTGCCGATATTTTGTGATTTTTCTGTTAATATAGACTCATTTTTGAAAAACAAATGAAATTTTGTTTTATTATCCCATTTTAATCAAATAAAACTTCTACTAATATAATTCAATATTAAATTCACTTAATCTAGCGAGGGTAACAAAATAAGAATTTTTTTGCACCTTGGTTTGGTTTTTATAGATTTTGCTATTTATTTACGTTTTATATGAGAAAACAAACCTCATATTTATAAACTTTAGACCTTAACCCGTAGCTTAAAACAAAGAAATCAAGTTTATATCAATATTTTCATTTTATCATATTTTCTAAGAAATGGTACATTTTTTTTGAGAAATGCTCAAATGGTTTTTTGATGAAATCAAAATGAAGAGGAGTTTTCTATTTATTTATAATTTTACAAATTAATTCTATTTGGTTCTTAAGACTTCGATGTCTTGTTGTGTTGGTTGAGATAAAGTATTATCTCAACCGAGCAGTACAAACAAACAAATCTCAACAGAGCAGTAGCTCTGCCCTGAATCAAGACTCGATAAAATCTAAGAGCAAAATACGATTTGCTATTAGAATTATTGATTTGACTATGAAATAATGTATAACGTACATGAATGTATTTACATGGTTTATTACAGGCTTATCGTCATGTCAGCCACACAAAAAGAAGTTCATTGCTGAATATTAGGTTTTCCTCGGTCACTCACTGAATCTGCCTATTTACTTTTTTACGATTTATCATATTCGAAATCGTCGTTGTCACACATGTTGTTTTTGTTTGGTGTACGATAACGAGGACCTATTGAATTAGAGTAAAAAATAAGTTTAAGACCAAGGCTTGTGTACAGGGAACATTAAATAAGAGTGGCAACTTTACAATCTCTAAATCAAATCACTTCACTATTACCTCGAAGAATTTTGGAAGAATTAAATAGAATTGATAGGCATCCTATTGTCTATGTTTTTCTGTTTAGTCTTTGGGGTAACCCACAGAGTACAATTGTAGGGCTAACCTCTCAAAATAAATCGAAGTTGGTTTTGTCTATGAGAAGCAGAAATTATGAAAGAAATGGTGCTGTCGTCAACGCATCGGTATTCGCTGTAGCTTGTCATATTAACTATTAAAGTTTATTATAATATCACGCAGTTTATACCTAACACATGTCTTACAGTTTTATCAATTAACTAAAATTGAACATGGTAAGTAAATTTATGAGTAATTTAGAGAAATTATGTAGTGATAATGTCATTACTCCTATAACTTGTTTGTTTTCTTTTTATTTAAATGTATAAGTGTTTTAGTATGTTTTTATAAGTGACAAGTAACTCTAATTTATAGGAACCGGCTAATACCGGAACCGGTTCGCCTGGTCTGGGACCTCTTATTCCACCGGCTATGCTAGGCGGTATGGCACCACCTATGCCTCAGTCTGTAGGCATACCTGCCTCAGCAGTTGGGATGCCACCTGTGCCAGGTATACCTCCGAACATGGCTGGTATGCCGCCGCCGATGGGTTTCCCACCTATGATTCCGCCTTTTTCAATGCCTCCACCAGGATTTCCGGCATTTAAAGCTGTAAGTATCTTTTTTGTGGTTATTATTTATGTAAAATTATGATGAATTGTATTTAGAGAACTCTAATCATGAAGATATCGAAATCATATGTTTTTTTAGGATATGAATGCGCCTGCTCCTGATATTGCTCCATTGGCTAACCAAAGCAGTCCTTGGTCTGAACACAAGGCTCCAGATGGAAGAACTTATTACTATAACTCTGTTAGTAAACAAAGTCTTTGGGAGAAACCTGATGACTTGAAAACCCCAGCAGAGGTAAGCATTATTATTAATAGTATTAAAAAGTGATGAGTTTGATAGATATATATCGAGGGGTAACGGACTATTTGGTTTAAGCGACATTTTGGGCGATATTGTGTCATTATATATCGACAGAGAAAAATTTGCTGATTCCGAATATATATATAACTCAATGTCGCCCAAAATGTCACTTAAACCAAATAGTCCGTTACCCCTCGATATATATTTTTTATAATGTTACAGATTAAATTCTCCAAGGACTCTTAGGCCGTGCCCTTGTCATACAGTTTTTTTATTACAATAAATCTAATGTATTTTTATAAACTAAATAAGGTACCTAGTTACACACTACAATTAACCACATCTATAATTATTTAGTAAAAGTATAAAGTACATAATAATTAGGTGTTATCTATTTATAATTATTTCTGGCTTTCTGGCTCTATGAAATCAGCCCACCAACAAGATGGGAGAGCCGACCTGACCCAGCAGAAGGCACCCGTTCACGAGTATGACGTTTGTGTCAGCAATTGGTCTGTTCAACCTTTTTATTGGGAACGGAACAACCCAACACACAGCGCCACCAACTGTAGGACATTTATGTGTGCATGACGCCTCAACCCTTGCTATGTTGGCTGATTTCAATAAAGTTTACAATAGTCCAAAAGTCAATAGGTTATTTTCTATATCTTCATATTTCTGCATACACATTTCCTCATGTTGCATTCGCTTCATCACAAGCAACACTCCACCCAAAAGAGCACCCACAACTACCGCGTCCCTGTGTTTGATTGCCATTTTCAAGTTGTATCCTTAATCTCTTGCTCACTCTCATAAGCCGCCTTCCTGATTAGTTTGCTTATCGCGTCTTCACTGTTGTCTGCTTAATAGATGCAACCGATATTATGCGTGTGACGCGATATTGCTACTACCCCGTGTGGTACGCTATCATGTATTTGATGTTTCTTCGTTGCTGTTCTCACAACAAGCACAAAGTGTGTGAATCACACGAAAGTTCCTGTGTTCTGTGTATTGTGACCACGCGTGATCCCACGGTCGACGTGTATCCCTGGATCTTAAGGGATTCCTTCTCTGCCTGAGTACCAGGTATAAAGTGTCAGGGAGTGATTTTGTAATCATCGCTCCCGTGAACCTTTTTATTTCGAGGGATCTCACGAGCGACCTGAACGAGTATATGTAATCTGTGCTGAGGTCATACGCCACATCTATTGGATTTCTGTGGGTACACATCAATTACTGGCTTAGGGTGTGATATATGTAGGACGGCTGTAGAGCAGAGGGAAGACGTTATCACGATCTATAAACGGTAGCTGATTTATGTCATCAATTAAAAGGACTTCCTCGGCTCGAGTTATTCGGGCGCCCATCACAACGGCTCCAAAGTGGTTCATGAGAGCCTCATGAACCACTTTGGAGAGGATTAGTCGATGGCAGCTCTCTCGCTCCCCCAAGCCGTTTACTTGGATGGACGCCATTGTTCGAACCCTAGATTTGACTAGTCCTCCGATTCGGCGGGATAGTTTGCCTCTGAGGTCATTTGCTGCTTCAGTTGTTGTGGTGACAATTAGATCTTTGTTCGCTTCAAATTGATCTACTATCCATGTCGTTTTTCCGCATCCATAGACGCTATTTGTCCAGCGAAACCTCGGAGTATGCCAGTCCCCAAGTCTGTTAAGGGATTGTTTCACAATATCTAAGTTACTGTAGTATGACAGTATGTTTCAAAGTTTGAAACATACTACAAACAATGTACTAGTAGTATGTTTCAAATTGTGAATATATTAATTTTTCCATTAGTTAGTTAAACAGAAACTTAATCAGACATAATGGAACACCTACATTCTTCTTATTATTTTTTAATTATTAAAAACATTTTGTATTATCCGCGGAGAACCTAACGGATTACAGGGGCTCCGGCTCGAAGTGCAGGAGTAGGAATGGGGTGGTTTTTAGTCAGTAAGAGTATGACACTCCCTCCCGCTTCACCCAGGACGGAGAAGTCATTCTATGACTTTCCCACCTTAAAAAAATGCATCATTTATGGCATGTTTGGTTTGGAACTAACATCAAATGTACCAACAAATAGGTTATTGAGTAAGATTGTTATTTCATAAAGAACCAGTTGTTTTACTTTTGAGAATATATTGCTGTTATTGATTGCTGATACTATGGATCTATGTGTTAAATGTAATAGGGTGATTCTCCAAAAAAAAAACCAAAAAATTAACGGCGTCATTATCCTCAAGCCACAGTTAACAATTGCTGATTAAAATACAAAGTTTAGTTTCAAAAAATTGAGCCATGTCACTGCTCTCACCCAATGCAATAAAATACAGATGCTAATAAGTTACCGCGATGCTTAACAACGCGGGAGGATAATGATTTGTTAAATAAAAGTTAAAGTTTTTTGAAGAAACACCCAATAACATAAAGCTTTGGTATAGAATGCAATGTTTGTGTTATGTTTTACAGAAATTATTATCTGCCTGTGTTTGGAAAGAATACACAACAGAAGCTGGTCGTGTATATTACCACAACATAGATACAAAAGAATCCAGCTGGATTATACCTAAAGAGCTGGAAGAAATCAAAGATAAAATCGCTGCTGAAGAAGCTGCACAGTTAGTATTGCTCTAATCTAATTGTAATTTGTAGTACGATATATTAAAATGTTAGTTGTAAACAAATTATATTGACTTCTGACAATACCAGTTCAACCTGCTCAAAGTTCAGCTTTAATATTTCAAATTATTGAATTATGCTGAATACTTACAGGGCAGCACTCAGTGCAGACGTTCCACCTGGAGAAGTGCCTTTGCCAATGTCTCCATCAAATCAGACTGGAAGTTCAGCCTTAGATGAGGCAATGGCTAAAACGCTTGCAGCTATAGATCCGAATCTTGCCAATTCTATACCAATACCAGAAGAAAGTAAGTGATCTACAAGTTAAATATTCACATTGCAAGAAATCTTATTGCTATTTTTGTTACCTAATTTATTAATTTTCTAAACCTTTAATTTATTTTAAGGTAAACCTGAAGAAATGAATGTTCCAACACAAAACAATGTTATTGAGGTACCAGAAAATCCACCAGAATTACAATACAAGGACAAGAAAGAAGCTATTGAGGCTTTCAAGGAACTTTTAAAGGACAGGGTATGTTTTCTCATTTTAATCATAAATATAATTTAATCCTACATACCATACATTTATAAAATAAATATATTATCCATCCAGTAAAGTCCAAACCACCCAGTTTTACTGAATGACTTTACTGGATGGTTACTTTCAACTTTATTTTAAATAAACTGTCAAACACCAAGCGGTCACCGGTGACCGCAACCTATTGTTCTATAATTGTGTCTACAAAACCGGTACTCGACGAGTTAAGCATACTGTATATTTACCTTCAGAATGTACCATCAAATGCAACTTGGGAGCAGTGTGTAAAGATAATATCTAAAGATCCTCGCTACGCGACTTTTAAAAAACTCAATGAGAAGAAACAAGCATTTAATGCTTATAAAACACAAAAGTTAAAGGATGAAAGAGAGGAACAAAGGTAAAAACTGTTTTTTTAAATCTGCAACTTTTTGATTTACTTTAAGGTTGATTGAGACCTCACAAAAAAAATGGTGGCATACATAAGTTCTCTTCTTATATTTCAGATTAAAAACTAAGAAAAATAGGGAAAACTTAGAAGAATTTCTACTAAGCTGTGACAGAGTGACATCATTGACCAAATATTACAAATGTGAAGAAATGTTCAACAATCTTGAGGTAAGACTAATATTATGAAAGCAATATTAAAATGACAAAAAAACTGCAGAGCACTTAAAACGTCATGCCCACAATAATTTTCATTTGCATAAGACACTTTTCAAATTGGTGCAGTTTGCAGTTTTAAAGTGTGATGTTACATATTTTTATTTCAAACAGATATGGCGCTGTGTTCCTGAATCAGATCGTAGAGATATATTTGAAGATTGCATATTCACAATTACAAAGCGTGAAAAAGAAGAAGCTAAGACTCTGAAGAAACGCAACATGAAAATGTTGGCACAGGTAAGAGCCAATATTCTTGGCTTTTTGTTGCCATGAATCTAATGACCTAATATACATAATTCTTGATCTAATTATAACATTTTTATAATTCGATAAAATGATTGCTAATTTTTATATAGGTACTAACTACTACATACATACACACATAATTCTTGATAAAATGGTATTTAAATTAAATTACAGTTCGAAATTCTATATAACTTTTACCATTTTCTACATTTAGTTTATTTCCTGGTCATCTCACAGCAGGGTAATGCCCTCTACCCTACTACCTTTGGATAAGTACTGATTAAATATACATTGTTTAAGGTGTTAGAGAATATGAGTGAAATCACATACAGTAGTACCTGGAGCGAGGCGCAGGTGTTACTTCTAGAAAACTCTGCCTTTAAGAATGACGTAAGCTTATTAGGCATGGACAAAGAAGACGCACTTATTGGTAAGTTCTATTTTGATTACTTCAATACACCACACATATCAATTAAAATTAAAAAATAATCACCAAAATGTTTGTACATTTCCAAACAGTGTATAAACTCGTCAAATGGCAACATAATTTTATATCTAGCCTTGACATGAGAATTCGTTTTAGTAGCAATGTGTTTTATAAATGTTTATTGATTCTGCTTTTTAGTGTTTGAACAACACATAAGGAATTTAGAAGCAGAATATTTACAAGAGCGGGAACAAGTTAAAAAGCGGAATAAGAGGCAGCAAAGAAAGAATAGAGATAACTTCTTGGTAAGTTTGTTTTTATCCAACTGAAGAAAGGGTATTGTTAACATTAACTTTTGTTTTTAGTGCTAAGTTGAAGTGTATTGATATATTTGTATTGCAAATATTTATACTGTCATCGGCTAATACTTAAAAATCTTAAGGACCATTAAATAGTGATGTCTTTTTTTATCAGGTATTACTGGATACTTTGCACGAAGAAGGTAAACTTACCTCAATGTCTTTATGGGTCGAGTTGTACCCAGTTATATCAGCTGACATGCGGTTCTCTGCTATGCTTGGTAAGTGACCCCATCATACTTTTGTGATTACACAAATTAATTTATGTTCATCTTTTTAAACAATATTTTTGCATTACAGGACAGAATGGCTCTACGCCATTAGATTTGTTTAAATTCTACGTAGAAAATTTGAAAGCACGTTTCCACGACGAAAAGAAAGTAATTAAGGAGATTTTAAAGGAAAAAAGCTTTGAAGTGAAACCTGACACTACTTTTGAAGAGTTTGCTACTGTTGTTTGCGAGGACAGCAAGTCGGCATCTCTCGATGCAGGCAATGTCAAGCTCACTTACAATTCATTACTAGAGAAGGTAAGTAATACTTGCTTTTATTTTTTTATCAAATATTTATGCTACGTATTGATGTTTAATGTGAGAGAGCCATGCCAAACGGGTCGGCTCGACTGGGGTGATGCCACAGAAAACCGACGTAAAATAACGCTAGCGTTGTTTCATTGTGTGAGTGAAGTTAAAGGAGGCCCAATTACCCTCCAATCTCCCGAATCCGCAACAATCCATGTAACGCGTATCGGGTGTCCATGGGCGGCGCCGATTGCGTATTTATTTATATAAATTAAAATAGTGTAACAACAAAGACGTTACACATTATTATTAAGGCGTATCAAGTGATACGTTGCTCATTTACTTATACTGGCTTACTATAAAAAATGTCATATGTAACAAATTTAAGTACACCACAACACAAACGTTTTCAATAAAGTGTTGATAACTTGATATTATGAAAACTTGACATCCATTTTGCACCTAGCTGTTGCTTATGAAAAACATTTGATTACATACAGGCCGAAGCTAGAAACAAAGAAAAGATGAAAGAAGAATCGAAAGCAATGAAGAAAATAGAAAGTGCCTTTAAATGGGCATTGACTGAAGCAAATATAGACCATCAGCTGTCGTGGAATGAGGTCAAGGAGAAGTTAGATCTGAGTGCGCCGGAGTTCGCGGCCGTGCCCTATGAAGAAGATAGAGTTCGGATATATAAAGTAAGTCAATTGCTTGTATACACATTAATATTTACCCCCCCCCCTTTTTTTTAAGGGGGGAAAATCATCGAATGACTGCTCCCGCCTGGGTGAAGCGGGAGGGAGTGTCAGACTCTTACTGACTAAAAACCACCCCGTTCCTTCTCCTGCACGTCGAGCCGGAGCCCCGGTTACCCGTTAGGTTCTCCGCTACAATATTTACCCCCTATCCCTGTAATCCTGGGCCCTCCATTGCAGCGGTAAGTCCCCTCTTTGAGGAGTGGCTTGAGAGACGCTACGGCGTCCTCATCTACCGCCTGACGCAGGTCCTCACCGGACATGGAAGTTTCGGGAAGTACCTGTGTCTGATGGGGCGGGAGGAAACGCCCGGGTGTCATCACTGCGAGGACCGCCCTGAGGACACGGTGATGCGGAGCGAGGGGGACTGGGATGCCATCTCCTCCTTTTGCGAAGCAGTTATGCTAGCTAAGGAGGAGTCGGGACGCGTGAGGCAGCGAAGCGCTGCCTCTTCGCAACCCAGCCATCGCGAAGGACACTCCGGGCGTCGGGGTTGGCGGGACGATCTCCGGCCACCGTAAGCGCGGGCCTGCGGACGGCGAGCATGGGTCGAGCGGCGAGCATGGGTCGAGCGGCGAGCATGGGTCGAGCGGCGAGCATGGGTCGAGCGGCGAGCATGCATCGGCGCGTCGAGTTCCGCGCGCGCCTCAAAGAGCCATCAGACCACCACGGATGGGGCCCGACAGGGCTGATGCCGATTCGGAGTCGCGGAGAACCTTACGGGTTACCGGGGCTTCGGCTCGAAGCGCAGGAGAAGGAACGGGGTGGTTTTAAGTCAGTAAGAGTCTGACACTCCCTCCCGCCTCACCCAGACGGGAACAGTCACTCGATGATTTTCCCCCCTTGAAAAAAATACCCGTAATCCATTTTCTGTGTAGTTTGATGTATTTACTAGTATTTGTACTAATCTTTACATTTGAATATTTTCAGGATTTCCAACATGAACAGGAGGAAAGTTGTTTGCATTACCATCATCCGAAATCCAAGAAAGCAAAGCGCTCCAAGAAGAAGAAACGCTCGCATTCTGCTTCATTGGTAAGTTGTAATGTATTATTACAACTAAATTACCTGAAACCATTTCAGAATAAAACTGCGCGGTAAGCTACACGCTTCAAAGTATTTGACCCACTTTAATATACGATTGACCAGCTCTGTGATCAGACCTAGTTTAATGACTGTTGAAATACAGTTTCATGATATTGATAGAACAGTTAAGTTATATTTCTTCATAAACTCATTACTAAACTATTTCCATACTCAGTCCAGGTCGCGGTCTCCGTCGCCCATTCAAATTGCTCGCTCGCCGTCGCCAGCTCCCAGCCATGGCACATGGACTTCGGATGAAGGCAGAAAACACAAGAAGTCAAAGAAGAAGCATCGCAAGCACTCGCCGCTACCTGTAAGTACCCTTTAGTTAGAAAAAAAAAATATACGAGTTGTTTGTTTTTTATAATAACTATCGTAAGACATACTACATATGTGTACATTAACTAAAAATCGCGGGTTACTCACGTGTAAAAGTTTCTTAAAGTAGCTTTTTATTTGTTAATGAATTATGTCTCAATGTGATTGATAAGTCAATGTTTTCTTGTATTAAATGTTAAGAACTTATATTTTGTTTAGAAATCTCCGACTCCCGAAGAGGGTGGTATAACAGATGACGAAGCAATTCGCCACAAGAGTAAAAAGTCGAAGCGTAGTGCTCCTAGCAGTCCTGAGGAGGAGACGCACGAGCTCCCACATAAACCTAAGAAGAAGAAAGATAAGAAGGAAAAGAAAGAACGGTACATATAAATCATTTTATTTCGCTGTTTTATGCTCTATCGTCACATAACAATCACCCTGGTAACTTGAGATTTGATTTGTTTAGGTCCAGTGGATCGACAGCGTGGAGTGATGCGGAACTGGAGTCCCGTCGCGCCGCCTTGTTGGCCCAACTGCATGAACACGAGGCAGACTGACGTCGCGTTACTCACATACATATCTTCAACGACTATCCCAAAGCGCCGGCCGCGACCACTGCCACGGCTACAACCTTGCCCACGGCCGCGGCTGCCACCACTGCCACGGTGACAGCCCTAGCTACTGCCACGGTCACGGTCATGGCGACAGTTACAGCCACTGCCTCCACCTCGGCTGCAACCACGCCGCTGTCTGGCTCACCTCAACAACACATCGAAATCGCCGAAGTTGAAGACTCTCAATACAACTCAGACAATTTCTCAGAATCATAAATCCAAAGTGATACCACAAGACTTTCTGTTTTACAATACAAGTTTATTTTATAAAAAATATTGTATACTAGAACTTTTTATTATTACTGAATGTATGTATCTTAGTTGCTGCATATAACGTGTGATAATTCCTGATGTTGCCATAATAGTAAAAACTTTGCAGACTAAACTTTTTGCTCAATATTTTCTCCAATGATATAAAATATCATTGGAGAAAGTATGCAAAACCAATGATTCAGAATTTTCACATTTCTAATGTAATTAAATGTAACATATATTAACAGTAACATGCTGGCTTAGAAATGAAGTTGTTACTGTAATTAAGATTGTGGGTTACGATTAAGTTGTCTTTCCGAGTAAAGTGACACAAGGCATCATGACCAACTGCACAAACTACAGTTGAAAGAGAATGGAAAGTGAAAAGTAATATTGAGTAATGTTCTTTGCTGGTATATTCCACATTGATAAATTAAAATATTAAGAAATAGAACTAATAGGAATGATCAATATGCATTGGCTCCTTCTGCCATAATATAATAAGTCACCAATGTGTGTCAAATAATAAAAGAGTAAATCAGCAGCTTTATATGTTTGGAGTATGGTTATTTAAAATTTTTATTTATAGATATTATGGCATTAAATGTAATGGAATGTCGGTAAATGATTTTTATTTTTGTGCACCATCCAAACAACCATCTTACTCATAGTAAGTATGGTTTAATATAATATGTATGATATTTCTTTCAAATATCTAAATAAGAATAAATCTTTAAAAATGTTTAGTATTATATTATGTATATTGATTAGTTTTAATGACCATAGTTTTTGCTTAATTTAATGGATAGATTACTGTCACATTCTGGCTTGCAAGTTTCTCCTTTAAAAAGCAAAATTTGCTTATTTAATAGAGGTTTCCGTAGGATAGTGCTCGACGTTCTTCTTAATGGTACTCAATTACAACTTGTAGATAATGTTAAATACTTGGGTCTCTGGCTAGACAAGGGGCTGCGATGGAATAAACACATTAATGAATTGTGTGAAAGAGTTACCAAGTTGATAAATATCTTTAAGATCTTGGTAGGATCGGCATGGGGTATCCACCCTAAGCACCTAAGGAGCTTATATATAGCACTGATTCGTAGCCGTATAGACTTTGGTAGCTTCTTATACGACAATAGCGCCAACACACATCTAATTAAATTAGATAGGTTGCAAAATATTTGTTTACGGTTGATAGGTGGGTACATCAAAAGCACCCCAATTCATGTGATGGAAGCTGAGTTATTTTTATCCCCTTTATTTGTTAGACGTCGTTTTTTAGCAGGGAAATTTTATTTGAAAAGTAAGAGTTTTAAGTCTCCGTTAGTTAAGTTGATCGACAATTTACATACTTGTAGTCGCAATCGTTTCTGGAGGAATAAAAAAATACCTCTTCTAGTTTCTACACATGATGCCTTAAAGCAAGAACACGTGTATACAAGTGACAGTGTTGGTTTATTCTCTATGGATACATGGGGCAGCAATATGGACTTATCTAACATTAAAACTACTTTAGAACATATAGACAAACCAAAAAAATCATATAATAGCTATAACTTAAAATCAATCTGTTGCAAGTTTTTAACTTCGGTATATTCAGAATATCATTGTGTATATACAGACGGTTCAAGAAGGGATAATTTTTACGGTGCAGCATTTTTTGATTCACAATTAGGTATAAGCTTCAAATTACGCATTTTATCGAAGCTGTCAATTATGCACATAGAATTAATTGCCATTGCGGAAGCTTTGTCGTATATTCAATCCTTAGACGGTGACCGGTTTGTTATCTTTTGTGATTCAAAGAGTGCTCTTTTTCACCTAATTCATTCAAGTTTATCTGTACGAGGGCTTCCACTGGCGTACAGTATTTTAAGATCTATTTTTGAACTTAGGGCCAAAGGCAAAAGTATTGTGATACAATGGATCCCTTCCCACATTGGATTGGAGGGTAATGAGGAAGCTGATCGGTTGGCTAATGAAGCGGGATCTGACGGGGAGGTTTATACTTGTGCTCTGTGGCATACTGAACTTCTGCCTTTAATAAGAGAAAGTTGCTATAAAGTATGGTCAGAATACTTTGACAAAAGGTCACTTACTAAAGGCATTTGGTATAAAACAATACAACCGACGCTTCCTCGTGCCCTCTGGTTCGGTGAAGGCGGGTTGAGTAGACAAGATATCGTCACAGCTTTAAGGCTCCGATCTGGACACATGCCTCTTAATAGTTTCGGATTCATGATGCATAAAGTCGAATCACCAAATTGTGCTGTATGTGATGTTGTAGAGGATGTGCAACACATTTTGTATGAGTGTCGACGTATTGAGTCTCAGAGGAATCAGGTTTTTAGTTTTAAGAGCCTTAATATTGGTTTTTATAACAGTGTTTTAGCGTCGCCATTGTCATCTGACGCTAGAAAATTGTATAGTTTAATTAATTTGTGTTTGAGCTTAAGGGATAGTTAAACCTACAAAAGGTTTAGCTGCTTTATTTTTTGTATTGAATTTTGTATCCTATAATAGGGCTGACATTTTCCTCTACGGAAAAAAGCCCTTCTTATTAAATAAAGATTTAAAAAAAAAAAAAAAATAGTTTTTGCCTTCGGCGAATTAGTTGTTATTATATCAAGAATAGGTGTTTCTTAGTATAATAATATTATGAGATAAAAATGTTCGGTCAGATAGTTTTTTCACAAAATTTTATTACTTTTCATAAAAATAAGTTGATTATTTTTAACATAGCAAATAATTATCTGTGTGAAAATAAATTTTAATGGCAAAAAAGATGTACTTTTATTTGTAGCATGTCCGGATAGGTTGAGACTTTTAAGAGTAACTGTGCTGTATACGACAGGGCTCGTAATATTGTTACCTACTGATTGTAATTCCTACCACCTATATGTTTATATAATGGATGCAATAAATACTTTAACCTTTTAGCCGCCAACGTACATAAAACTCAATACCTCGCCTAGCTAGCGCCAAGCTATAAATGTATAACTAAATATACAGTAATCAGTAGTGATGGGGATATCGTCATATCAATGGATAAGATTTGTACGCGCAAAGTTAAGATTTAAAGTAGATTTTACGAATATAAATAAAAACTGATGAAATATTTCTAGATTTATTTTATTTCACAGTATCCTTAAAAAGAAAAAACAGTATAAATTATGAGTATCAAAGAAACTTATACATAACTTAATTAGAACTATAAGAAATGGGGTACATCTCTATTTGTTTCATGATCTCATTCTCAAGTTATTGGCACTGAGGGCACATTGAATTCGATTCTGATGAGGGCGGATGAGGGATAGGGTCTATGGTCTTCTATTTTTGTTTATTCCTGTTTTTTTTTTCATAACTTCAGTCAACGTTTTTTACCGTAGGTAGGTAGGTATCTAAGTGGCAGAATTTTTAATTGTTTTTAAAGTGGTTTTTGAAATGGAAAGTAGTAGGTATATATTTAAATTCTATCACGCTTGTAGCCGTGTACTTATTAAAGCATGTGTATAAAAATCGATAAAAATAATTTCACATCTGTGGCGAAAATACATCTGGCAATAAAACGGAAAGGTGACATTGACGTATTCAGTTATTGACATTTTGTGTTATGGAAAGTAATGGGATATTATACATTTTACTTATTTAAAGTGCTAAGATATTACTATTTTATATAAATATAAGCTATCACAATAGTGAAATTAAAACGATATTTAAAGCATGTCAATTTGGAATCCTGGACTTAAAAATGTGGTTGACGATCAATCTGATTTTTTAACCGATTTTCCCAACAAATCATTTACAAGTAAAATTGATGCTACATCAAAATTACAAGTTATTCAAGCTCTAGATAATGGTCAATGTAAATCTGATATAGCTAGAGAGTATGGTGTTCATCCAGAAACTATTTTGTCTATTTACAAACAGAAAGACGCAATAATAAAAAAATACAACCAGAAATATAACCTTCTGAAGGAAATCTGCAGTCTTAATTTAGAACAAAACCTTCTTGATTGGTTTGAACAACAATTTAAAAGTGGAAATGTTATCACTGAAGATCAACTTCGTGGCAAGGCACAAGATATTCTCAAGGGATTGAGTGAAAAGTTTACTAGTATTGACGACTGGCTATTAAGCTTTCGTACAAGACACAATATATCTAAATACTCGTCTGATGATATGTACGGCGAAAAAGCTAAAGAAGATTGGAGAAGGTTTCTTACCAATTCAGAGTCAAATGATGTGTATTTGGGAAGTGTTTGTGCATTGTCGCATAACCTTGATTATACAAGCTACCTAAACGGCCAACATGCTGAAAGTTATGTTTCATTACTGCTCTTAGTGAATGCACTAGGAACAGACAAAAAAGAGATAGCAGTGGCTGGCAAAGAATCAATGGAAACAGAAATACACGTTAGAAGTTTACCAGTCTCTTATTACTATTGTCTTAATTCACAAATTAATTATTCCATAATACAGAATTACTTAACTAAGTGGAACAATGAGTTGGCTTCTAAAGGAAACCATGTCACTTTGGTACTGGATGTGCCAGAAAGCATGATTAACACTATGAAATTTGAAAATATAAGAATACTTGGTACTACTGAACTAAGTTATGTGACAAACATTTTAGAAAAGGTAGTGGAGTGTTTCAAATATCATTATCGAAGATTACAAATCAGTAGAAGTTTAACTTATGGTAAAGACAACTCAACATTCATGGATTACATACATATGATGGGTATGGCGTGGCACAACATACCACAAAAATATATCCAGAGCCTAAGCTACCCTCCTGGAGATGGCAGTTTATTCTTTAATCTCAAAGAAGACAGTGATAATGATCATAGTTTATCACGATGGTGTAAGATGTATAACATACCACTGAATTATGACCAATGTCCAAGTTCATTGGACATGATTATTTTTTGTGACAAGAAATTGCCATGTATTTTTCGAGGACAAGTGGATGAAAATATGCAAGCTGCTGATGTGTTCAGTCAGAAAGTATGCAATTCAACCTCAGGAATGGAGGCCTACCAGGCTATGAAAAGAATTGTTTCTTATTTACAAGGGGAGAACGCGGGAAGTTCTATAATGAAATATGCCAAATATTTGGAAAATCATCTTGAATATGGAGCTCTCCTACACATGCACCAAATTATAGCTAGTACAAATGATTCCATTTAAAATAAAATATTGTTCTAAAGAAAATATCTTTTATTTCCTTATAACATATTATATTTGCTGATATAATAGTATGATTATATTAATAAGATTAACAGTTCTTTTATAAGATTAATTACTTTTATGTATTTATTACTTAGGTAATTGATTTTAGGCTTAACATAATTATAACATTGGTTTCATATATACCAAGTGTAAAACAAAACTTTAAATTATATACATAGATATAATTTACGTATTTTTAATGAGTATGGTAAATAACAGTTCATTCAAGAACTTTATAACATTATTCCAATATATCTCTGGTCTTATCTGAAAAATATTCTAGCACTTGTTAGACTATAGTACAACAACTTAAACTCTTCCTCTAAAGTTTTGATTTTCTTTTCAGTTAATGCCAATGCTTGCTGAAGCTGTACAGAGCCC